TTGGGGAACTGAACTGACGCGCGTCGGTGCCTGTCCTTCCGCGGCGCTCCTGTGCCCGAGGCGGGGAGGAGCCGCAGTCCACAGCGCTAGTGCGGCCCCACGGGAGCCGCTGCGGAAACAGCGGGGATGGAGGTACTTCCCTGCGGACTCTTCCAAAAGCATCCCACCCCGGCGCTCAGGTCCCAGTACTTGGCGAGATGAAAGGTTTCTTCCCCCACACCCACTTGGGAAGGTCGTTCTTCCCTCTTATCTCAATACAGTCTTCCTACAGCTCAGTGCAACTCATTACAGTCTGAATTATGGAATTGTAAGGCATCGGATGGTACAAAATTACAGGCCTCCAGTGACATTTTTTATTTTCTAAGGATCAGCTACAAAAATAATGCAGACGTTTCAACTGTGATACCTCAGAAGGCAACTACATAGTAAACACACTTCTATACCCACTCCCAAATCTTTTTTTCACCCTCACCCAAGGATATGTTTACTGATTGTAGAGAGAGACAGAGAAACATAGATCGGTTGCCTCTCGTACTCGCCCTGGGAATCAAACCCGAGCCGAGACCTTCTGGTGTACAGGACAGTGCTCCAACCAACTGAGCCACCCGGCCAAAGCCAAATCTGTAATTTTTAATAGTTAAATATTCCCTCAATAATTGAGAAGTATATTTTCTAATTATTACATAAACTAAGGAATTGTTTAGCCCTAGGAAAAAACACCAACCATGGGCCTTTAAATTTTTGGAAACAGTTGAGAAATGTACTTTTTAAGGCCATTGCTACTAATGATAAATTTCAAAATACACAGTTCCATCATATTGCAAGGGATTTAGGAACTACCCTATTCAACACTGAGTGAGTTATGCTAGATAAACAACCTGACAGAGATGATGACAATTTGGAACCATAATTAACTCAGGGGTCTTCTTACCAGACGGTTTCCCTGTAATCTCTTGCTTTCCCTTCTTCCAAAAAGAAAATCGTGTGCTAAGACAGCAAGTGAGTTACAGTTTCAGTGGATTTAAGTTCTATATCTCAGCAAGATGTGGGAGAGCATCCGTTTATTTATATGTGATCTCGAGTGCCGGGCATGTTCTATTAACTGTTTTAGACATAACGTACTTCTAGGTTTTTGTTAAAAACTAGAGGCCCCAGACTGTCAAACTACAGCGGGCAGCCGGGGAGGGATGGGGGGTGAGGGGGTGGCAAGAGATCAACCGAAGGACTTGGACTTGTGTGCGTGCATATAAGCATAACCAATGGACACAAGACAGGGGGGTAGGGGAGGCCAGGGGAAGGTCAAGGGGGGAAAAATGGAGACATATGTACTACTCTTTATAATACTTAAGCAATAAAACAAAATTAAAAAAAACACTGGAGGATGACTATTGTCTACTGGCATTAGGCATGATATTTGCTGAACATTACATTTGGGTTTTGTATAGGAAACCACCTGTAACATCATTTGACTTTGTTATTAAATATAGAATGACAAAAAAACAAAAACTAGAGGCCCGATGCACAGAATTTGTGCAAGGCCCCCACCTCTGCCGCGGCCCTCTGCTGCCTCTGCCAAGCCTGCTGTGGATTTGTCTGGAAGGAAGGCCATCTAGTCTAATTAGCATATTATGCTTTTATTATTACAGATGTCCTTTTTAGTGTAGCCTGCAGTTGCTTTTTGCTCTTTACGTTCCTGTTCACGCGGTTGATGACGGGTTTGTTCTCTTTTTCCTTTCTAGTTATGAAAAACCTCCTCCTGGGCTTATCAAGGTCAGTGTGCCTTTCTAGTTGAAAAACCTCCTCCTGGGCTTATCAAGGTCAGTGTGAAGTTTGTCCTTGTGGCTCTTCTTAGACATAACTACTCAGTGCGCAGACTCCCTTTGTGGTCACCCTGTTTCTTCCTGCAGGTGCCAGGCAGACACTTCGGGCTCTGTCACAGGCCTGTGCCTTTGTGGCAATTTACTCAGCCGGGCGTCTGTTCCCTAAGAACCCCAGGCAGGCCCACGCGAGTCCCTCAGCCATCGCCCCTTTTCCGCTCCATGGCCAGTGTCAGACTCTGAGGCAATAAGACTTAGAGGAGTGTTTAAAGGCCAAAATAACCTTTTCTGTTTGCTACCTTTCAATATTAAAAAAGATTTTAAAAAACATTTTCATTATAAATTTAATATACATGGAAACTTGAAAAAAAATCAAAAGGCTAAAAAAAAACAACCTTATGCAGGCTCAATCCCCAACCCCAGTCGGGGTGTGTGTGAAATGCAACCAATAGATGTGTCTCTCTCACATCAATGTTCCTCTCTTTCTCTGTCTCTCCCCCTCCCTTCAACTCTCTAAAAATCCATGGATCCTGGCTGGTGCAGCTCACTGGTTGAGGATCGACCTGTAAACCAAGAGGTCAGGTCACCATTCCATCCCTGGTCAAGGCACTCCCTCGATCCCCAGTGTGGGGCGCAGGAGGCAGCCAATCAATCATTCTCTCTCATCACTGATGTTTCTATCTCTCTCCCTCTTCCTTCCTGTCTGAAATCAATAAAAAAAATGTTATAAATAAGTAAATATCAGTGGAAAATATCTTCAGGTGAGGTTTAACTAGAGAGAGAGAGAGAGAGAGAGAGAGAACTTTAATGCAGGTATTTGGTGGTGTTAAGTACATTTCATAAATACACCTGTGGCCTTCAAGGTATAATAATCCATTTTAATTTAACATGCTTTTGTTATTCCAGGAAACCTTACTTGTTTAATCCTATACTTTGCCTCATTCCACAAAACTTTTTTTTATATATATTTTATTGATTTTTTACAGAGAGGAAGTGCGACGGATAGAGAGTTAGAAACATTGATGAAAGAGAAACATCAATCAGCCGCCTCCTGCACACTCCCTCTGGGTATGTGCCCACAACCCAGGTACATGCCCTTGACCGAATCGAACCTGGGACCCTTGAGTCCACAGGCCAATGCTCTATCCGCTGAGCCAAACTGGTTAGGGCCACACAACTTTTAAGTTAGCAGAAAATTTGTAATCTTAGCATCAGAATTTGGAGCTTATAAATCACTTCTTTGTGAACAACAATAGTACCATTTCTCCAAAAACAGCCACTTCATTTTGTGATGTAGTTCTTCCGGCACATTCACTTCCACTTTTTCTGTCCGGTCTCAGTGGTGTCTCTGGTTCTTGAGAGGTGACTCATGACGACCTTGGGAGCTCCCCCCTGAGAAAGCCAGGCCACGCTGTGCTCTGAGGCAGGTGGAGCGGATCCGGCGCTTTCTGCCATATTGTTTACTCGCTGTTTCCCTTTTTAGGAGGATGAGACTAAGCCGGAAGACTGTATCCCAGACGTGCCAGGCAATGAGCATGCCAGGGAATTCCTGGCTCACGCGCCAACCAAAGGGCTTTGGATGCCCCTGGGGAAGGAGGTCAAAGTTATGCAGTGTGAGTGTGCCAGCGTGTCCGGTACTCCCGAACACACGCAGGTGACACCACGGTTCACAAGGCGTGTTTTTCTTTCATTTAACGTGTTCTCTCAGCACTGTCAGAGTCCTGGCATGATCTCTGCTCTGCAGATTGACTTACACGTGTCAGTAAGTGGTCCCAGGTAAGAGGCAGAGCCAACACGTGCTCCAGGCTTCTGACTCCACGTGCAGTGGCCCTCCCACAGGACGGGGCTGCCTTTGGAGGACACTGGCTGGTAGTGTTCCTGCCACAGAAAGGACCTGCCGTGGTGGAAATCCTTGGAGGGCAGGTCCCTCTGGTCCTGCCTCAGTTAGTCCCCCTCCATCGTTGGTTTCTCCCAAGTTGCCTAAGAGGGGCTACAGTCCACAGAGGGTGGGTTGGGACAGGTAGAGCTCTGCGTGTGCACCCCCACCCCACCAGGGCAGCAGCACCTTCATCCAGCACAAGATGGCATTTGAAGAAAGGGTGCTGAAGCCTTTTTTTTTTAATATGGCTTGTATTGATTTTGGAGAGGGAGAGAGAGAGAGAGAAACATCAGTTGACTGCCTCCTTCAGGCCCCCCACCAGAACCAAGCCCACAACCCAGGCATGGAACGGTAACCTCCTGGTTCATAAATCGATGCTCAACCACTGAGCCACACTGTCCAGGCCCAAATTCACTTCTGAGTAGAGATTGGTAACTGGATCTCACTGTAGGGTGGAGTGTCTGGGCTGCTTAACAGGTAACACAGTATTGATTTTATTGCTGTAAACGGCTGCTGAGATCAGTATCTCCAAGCCTTTCTCATCAGCTGGTCAGTCTTT